TTTTTCCATTTGCTATAGCTACTCTCCATTCAAGGGCAAGTTTCAGAGTCTCTTCTGACATCCATTTTGGTTATTTCTTCCTTTCCTTTCTTTTTTATGATCTTTTGCTTTCTTCATGGATGATGTTCTTGATGTGGTTTTTGGTCACTGGTGTTCAATGCATCAACTCTGTTCTTCAGATGGTCTCTAAATTCAGAAAGGATGTAATCAATGTCATATTTTGGCTCTCGTGGGTTTGTTTTAATCGTCTTCAGCTTCAAGTTGAACTTGCATATGAGTAGTTGAAGGTCTATTCCACAGTCAGCTCCTGGCTTTTTTTGACTGAAGATGTTGAGCTTCTCCATCATCTCTTGCCACAGATGTAGTCAATCAGATTTCTGTTTACTCCATCTGGCTAAGGCTGTGTATATAGCTGCTGTTTGTGTTGTTGAAAAAAGGTATTTGCAATGAATAAGTCATTGGTCTTGCCAGATTCTAGCAATGATCTCTAGCATAATTTCTATCACCAGGCCATATTTTCCAACTACTGGTGAAATCTTCTTTGTTTCAACTTTTGCATTCCAATTACCAGTGAAAATTAACACATTTTGATGACATGTTCTGTCAATTTTAGACTGCAGAATTTAGTAAAAATCTTTAATTTCCTCATCTTTGGCTTTGGTGGTTGGTGTGAAAATTTGAATAATAGTGGTATTAACTGGTCTTCTTCATAGGCATATGGCTATTATCCTATCACTCACAACATTGTACTTCAGGATAGATCTTGATACATTCTTTGTGATGATGAATGCCACACCCTTCTTCTTCAGTATGTCATTCATGGCGTAGTAAATCATATTATTTTCTGATTCAAAATGGCTAAAACGAGTCCACTTCAGCTCACTAATGCCTAGGATATCAATCTTCATGTGTTCCATTTCATTTTTGACAACTTCCAATTTTCCCAGGTTCGTACTTTTTACATTCCTTGTTCTAATTATTAATGGATGTTACAGCTGTTTCTTCTCATTTTGAGTCATGCCACAACAACAAATGGAGGTCCTGAAAGCTTTACTCTATCCACATCATTAAGGTTGGCTCTACTCTAAGTAAGCAGCTTTTTCTCAGTCCTATTTTGAGTGCCTTCTGACCTGAGGGGCTCATTTTCCAGCAGGCTATCAAACAGTGTTTCAGGGCTATTCATAAATTTTCCAGTAATATATCAGACAGTGTTTCACTGTTATCATAAGGTTTTCACTGGCCAATTCTTTGAGAAGTGGATGGTCTCTTCCTTCTTCCAAATCTGTCTTAGTCTTGATGCTCCCCTTAAAACTGTCCACCATGAGTAACCCTGCTGTCATTTGAAACACTGGTGGCATAGCCTCCAGCCTCACAGTAACATTCAAGCCACCACAGTATGATAAACAGACAGACAAGTTTGTCTCCCTTATCTTTTCCAAACTGCTCTACTCATATCCTGGTCCCCAACTCTAACTCTGCTCACTTACCAGGCCTATGCCCGGGGTGGAAACACCCACCTTCCACTTCTTCTGAGGCTGGTTTACCATGGCCTGCCTCCACACACACACTATATGTATACACTGAATTTAGATTTCTGAACAGTTTTCAGCTGTGTATGCATATATACATATATGCATACACAGCTGAAAACTGTTCAGAAATCAAAACATGACATTTGTTTTTTTTATAATATATTTAATTTTTATCTAGTATTGCATTTTTCTTGCTTATCATCATATATGAACCCTTTACTTTATTATTTACAGAAATTAATCCAACAACTCCTGTAGAAAAGACTTATTTTACAAATCAGCCTGGAGACACCCATCAAAATGTTGTTGTTACTGAAGCAGGTAATTAACTCATGTGTCTTTAACTCCTGCATCAATAATAGTAGCTATATTTTCAACATTTGTTGCAAGGTGACTAAATATGGGCCTATGAAATTTAACATCCAATGATCACCTTTATGGAAGTAGGTTAGAACAAATGATCTTAAACTACTTTGTTTACTTCAGATTTTCACTTCAAGTAGATGCATCTAGTACTACACTAAATAATTTGTGTTGATACCTGGATCTACAAGAACCCCCTCTATAATATTTAGTTATTATAATGTAAACTGGCACATTCATTGGCCTGCAAACAATGGTGTGCTGGGAAATATTTAGACACTGACTTGGAGTAGGAGGGAGGGAAATAATATAGCCCTCATTTGTAGCCATTGCCCATTTCCTTGGTGTAAATACTCCCACCTTGGTTGATTTCAAGATAACCAAATTGAACAGCAGCTTCCGTAGAGATCCATGAAATGGACTCTCAAGAGCCTATCTGAGCTGGCTTCAGCTTACCACTACCTGCAAAGGAAACAAAACACAGCTTCCGATGCAAATTGTAATTTAGTCAGAAACGGCATTCAGTATCAGTTATGGGCTCTTCTCAGCTAGCCAATTGGTTATATATATATTTTTTTTTAATCCTAGTTGCTTTGTAACTCAAAGTTTAATAATCAATCCACAGATAATCCAAAATCCATGAAAAAGTAGAAAATACTTTCTCTTTTTCTTTCCTATTTTATATAAGGAATCCTAATGAGATTTTGAAGGAAAATGAATACTTTCCTGAATCCTTAAAATGCTTCAAGTCACCTGTTGGGGACTCGAAAGAGGGAGAGGAACAGGAGAAAATTGTCTCCCAAATACTCCACCACTGGACCTCAGTTACTAGGTCCTCTTCTTTTAACACAGGAAGTGATGTATAGATAGATGGATAGTTGGATCTCAGTCTAGTTCACTTTGACTAGATTTAAGTGGATTAGTAATGATGACAGCTTTCAATTTGCCAGCTCTGTGCACATTTCTTCAATTTGCCTTTATTGTGTGAACATGATCTTAAGCCTTATGGTCTTTCATTTTTTCCAGTGCCTGATTTTAGTAAATATTTAGCAATGTGACTGATATTTCTAAGTCAGTAACTTAGGAAATTTTCTCTCTTGTTACATTGAGAAAATGTTTGATATAGTCATTTTAAGCTGTTTGGAACTTCAGTGTAGCAGTTGTTCTTGATTTTACTAAGTATACATAATATTATCAAAGGTAACAGAAAAGGATTAAAAAATAATTTATTTTTGAATTTAATTAAGATCAAGTCTTTTTCCTTCTGGATTCTTGTGTCTATGGGTCATGAATTTATCATCAATTAATATTTATATATCTTAGTTTAATTCCAGAGATTCTTACATATCATTGTGACATTGATTTTATTGAGTAGGATAATAATTTATCCAAAATATCAAATATTATCTTAATAATTATTATTTTTAATAATTGATGCTTTTTTCTCTAATGATTAAGAATTATCAATAAGTGAGATAAATAATATATTATCATAAAACATTATAAAAACTACCCTATATCTGAATTGCAGACTTAATAATAGTTTTGAATGTATGCATATTGAATTGGATATTGAAGGGTAGTATAATTTTATTTTTAATTTTTACCAAAATATGGATTTATTATTTCATAAAATCATTTAGTATTTTGGAAAGAAACTTGTTGGGAATCTATTTGTTGAAAATTTGTATATAAATTTGGTGCTAGAATACTAGCCCAACTATGTTTACACACTAAGAATGTTTTCTTTCATAGGCATAATTCCCAATCTAATTTATGTTGTTATACCAACGATACCACTGCTCTTATTGATATTGGTTGCTTTTGGAACTTGCTGTTTCCAGATGGTTCATAAAAGGTAAATAATTCATATTACATAGAGATATAAGTTGAAAAAATTTAAGAAGATTTACAGAATGCATTTAAAAATATTAGTAAAAAGTTAATTATGTTTAATATGTCTTAATTAAATCCTGATTTCCATATTTGCCAGTATAATCATATATATATACAATTCAACAAAATATACCTTAATTATTGGATTCCTGAATTATTTCATTATCTTCACAAGTCATATGAAGTAGGTACACTTCCATTTCTGTTTTTCAATTGATAACATGGTGGTGTAAATAAATTAAATAAATTTTCTTAAGTTCCACAGCTAGTGTATGTGATGGATCTTAAGTTTGAATTCTGGTAAGCTTACAATTGTGCTATATGGGGTCTCAAGTCTATTAAGTATAATCAAGTTTAGTAAGTATAATCATTAATGCTAAACCATTGCTCTTGACCTCAAACTGTACAGAAGTTTTGATTTTTATAAGTTTATGTTGTGCCTTTCCAAATTTTCCATGCATAAGCTTTTATTTCACAAGGGTCTTTTAAATAGAAGAAATAAAATACAGTGTTAAAAAAATCAGTCACTTTTGGACAAATATCTAGAAAAAAATGATATATTTTAACATCCAAATACTAGGGCATATTCTCACTTTTATATCTGCTTATCCATACCCTTGAAGGAGTTCTGGTGGCATAGTGCATAAGGCATTTGGCTGCTAACCAAACCTACCAGCTGCTCCATGAAAGGAAGATGGGGCAATTTACTTCCATAAAGATTTACAGCCTTGGAAACCCAATGAGGGGTCACTATAAGTCAGAATCAAATCAACTTGATGGCAGTAGGTTTGGTTTTGATACCCTTGAGTTAGAGAGGTAAAATTTTTCTCTGAGTGTCTCTTTGTTAAAAACTTTAATATATGAAATATAAATATGAATCAAAGGAAAAAGGAACTAATAGTGGGTTTAAGTAAAAGCATGTTTGTTAAAATGATCTAGACATCTTTGTCAGCATGTTTTAGTAAGAACTGATCATGGCTATGCCTTTGTAGAGAAGGACCTACAAATAACATCATTTTCCTTTTGTTCACTTTACTTCATCTTCTTCATTTCCTGAAATAAACCCTAAGGAACCCCTAAAGTAATAAGAGTCCAGGGGAGGGGATGTGTGATTTAAGTTCTAAATGGTCCAAATAAATTTTTGAAATGCTTCAAACTGTGGTTTACTAGATATTTAATTAAAATATTTTGAATGGTGATAAATAAAGCCTGCAAATTAATAATATAGCTGGTGGCTTCTTTCTAATATATGCTAAGCTAATGTTCATTTTTCAATATTTTATACAGAATAAAAGATAACAGTGAAAAAAATCCAGTTTCTTGCTTTACTTCCTAAGACTTTAGATGGCAGGATGAATTATCATTGTGAAAATGAGTACAATTGAGGGAGAATCTGACCTACCACCCCTTTATGCCAGCCAAACTGTTAAGAAAGAGCTGTAAATAACAAATCAGCTTGAAGAAACAATTTAAAAACTATGATTTATACATTCACATTTAAAAAATAAAATGTCTAAAATGCAGGTAACTGAGTTTTTACCAAGTTGTGCTTTCCTTCTAGATAGAATATCATTGGGAAGATTCTAAATCAAAGGTCATCCAGGCCTTTACAACTTGAAGATCTATAGAATTTTCACCTGTGAGAAATTCTCAGAGGGGAAAATAAACTGAAATAGAGCATCTCCCAATGCCAGAATTGGCATAGTACTTCATTCATTCATTCTTAGAGCCTGCCCTTTTCCTTTCTTCCAGGAAAGCAAGGAGAAACTTCATCAAAGACTCAACACCATTATCATCTGAGTGCCTTGCAGAAAGTTTAAATTCCAATCTGGTACACATGATGATTTCTATCATTCCATGTCATGTTCAAAATAATAACTTGTATTTCTTTAACTGGTGGTAGCTCTAAATGATATACTAATTCTATCGAAAACCCACATTAATAACTTAACCACTTTCTTTTTACCATTCTTAAAAGTTTTATAATTTTCATAAACTTTACTTTCCTCATGTCAGATGATGCCATAGACCACAGACATCCACTTATTTGTATTCAAATCTCCAAAATGTACAATTTGGGCATAATGTTTTCTTAGTAACAGTATATTAGTATTAGTATATATAATACTGATATACTGTTACTAATATTAAAATATGATAGTATATATTTTGTTCACAGTTAAAATGAAGTGAAATAAGTACTTTTATAAAATTGTAATGGTCAGGTGTGTTTAGGAATAGTTTCTTTTCTTTTTTCAAAAGAGTTCTGCAATATCTAGTAGGCAAGAAAGGAAGGGATGGAGAAGAAGTCATGCTATGGGGGTAGGACAGATGAAAGAGATAGGGGAGGTTGAGGATGGAAGGAAGTATCAAGCAAAATAAACAGGGATTGGTAGTGATTATGTAGTGATCCAGGAGAGGGATCATCCTTGGGGAAAGTAGACCAAAGGAATCTAGATCTTGACAGATATGTTAGAAGATGATTTGGGTAAACTCAGCTATGGACACTTCTTCAGGAGCCTTAGAAGTAGCCATTTAATGAAAAGGGACTTAGAAAATAGCAGAGCTCTAAGGCAAGACTGATAATATAAGTCTATATATGGCAAAAGTGAAGTCTAATTTGGATCTAGAGGAACTCAGAATCTCCTAAGTGATCAAGGCCTGAATATTCTATTAAACTACATTGGTTTCAGAGATTAGGTAAAATTAAGCTTTTAGGCACTAAATGACTTACATATAGGACAGGAAACTGATGACAGGAGGTGAATTGGTAGGTCCTTACACTTAGTGTAGAGTCCCTGTGTATTGTAAATGGTTAATGTTCTGTGCTAATTCAAAGGTTGGTTGTTCAAGTCCACCCAGAGGTACCTTGGAAGAAAGGACTAGTCATCTATTTCTGAAAAGTTAACCACTGAAATGTTTTTGGAGCACAGTTCTACTCTGACACAATTGAGATTGTTGTGATTTAGAATGAACTCGATGGAAACTGGCTTACACTTAGTTCAAAATTATTGTTTTGATTATTTGACATTAAATTCAAAAGCATACATTGGTGGTGGAATGCTCAAAAAGTAACATTTCAAAAATCATTGATCAAAGGAAATGAAGATGTATTGACAATTAAAGTGAAAAATTTGGTATTATGTCAGAAAATAGTTTGTATGCATATATGTTGTTGTTGTTGTTAGGTGCTGTCGAGTCATTTCTGATTCATGTACAGAGTGACCTCATGTACAGTAGAATGAAACACTATCAGTCCTGTGCCAGCTCCATGATCTTTGCTATACCTGAGCCCATTGTTGCAGCCCCTGTGTCAATCCATTTCTTTGAGGAACTTCCCCTTTTCCATTGTCCCTCCACTTTGCCAAGCATGATATCTTTCTCCAGGGAATGATCCCTTCTTACAACGTGACCAAAGTAAATGAGACAGTCTGGCCATTTTTGCTTCCAAGGAACATCCATCTGGACTTCTTCCAGGACAGATTTGTTAGATTTTGCAGCATTGGTACTTGCAGCATTCTTCACCAACACCACTCAAAAGCATCAACTCTTCTTCAGTCTTCCTTTTTCATTGTCTAGCTCTCACATGCATATGAGGTAATTGAAAATACCATGGCCTGTGTCAAGTGCACCTTAGTCTTCAAGGAAACATCTTTGATCTTCAGCACTTGACAGAGGTCTTTTGCAGCAGATTTGCCCAGTGCTACACAATGTCTGATATCTTGACTGTTGCTTCCACTGGTGTTGATTGTAGAACCAAGTAATATGAAGTCTTTGACAACTTCAAACTTTTCCCCATTTATCATGATGCTCCTTATTGGTCCTGTTGTGAGGCTTTTTGTTTTCTTTAT